AACAGGTACAGAAGATGATGGGGATTTGACTCTTTTACCAAACATTTAAGCTTGAAAATTACGCGTTTCTTAAAATTTATAGTCAATTGGTTTTTTAAGTTCACATGACAATACTTTTTTTTTTTTTTTCCGCAAAGTACATAAAATGAAAAAGTAATAATTTTACACTTACCCCACGCCAATAGAGTGTGGTGCAAGTATCTGTCCTTCCTCATCTTGCAGTAAATAACTCATGGTTCCATGGTAGACACCAACCTCACCCCTGGACAGAGTGGCAGAGTGCCGGCCGCTGTCTAGGCCGAATCCGGCAGCCTCGATGCCAATCAGCCGCACATCGTGGTCTCCAATGAACTCATGGAATAGACCTAATGCATTGGAACCACTCCCCACACAGGCCACCAGAACATCCGGCTTCCCGCCCCATTTCTCCATTGCCTGTCGCCTTGTTTCCTTTCCGATCACCGATTGGAACTCCCGAACCATCATCGGACATGGATGAGGCCCCACCACCGTGCCCATCAGGTAATAGGTGGTTTCCAAGTTCCCTACCCAGTTCCTGATGGCCTCTGAGCTTGCATCCTTGAAAGTTCCCTCAACAGGCTTCACCTTCAGAAACAAATATGTACAATTCTAAGACCATCGTAACTTTTGTAGACGTGTCATTTTCATCATATATAAAGTAATCATAGATAATTTGTAAACTAAAAAAAAAAAGAAATCTAAACTACGAAAACTTGATAGATTTAGTTACTACAGAGGCTTTGAATGCTCACCTGAGCGCCCAACAGCTTCATTGAGAGTACGTTAGATGCCTGCTTTTCCATGTCTTCCTTGCCCATGAAGACAGTGCACTCCAGGGAAAGTTTAGCGCACGCAGCAGCTGCTGCGACACCGTGCTGTCCAGCACCGGTGGCTGCCACCACAGATTTCAGTCCCATACGTTTGGCAATCATGGCCTGTGCAATAGCGTTGTTGATCTTGTGTGCACCTAGGTGGCTGAGGTCCTCCCTCTTTAGATAAATTTCCGGCCCTTCTCCTCCATTTTTGTCCTTGTAATAATCCGTTAGCCGCTTGGCGAAATACAGCGGCGTCTCCCTTCCAATGTAGTCTCTTAGTGCCGTCCTCAGCTCTTCCTGCAGAGTCAATATGCAATATTTTTGCTAAGAATGAGCTCAGAATTTTTATTTAGTGGTAGCAAATATATCAAATAATTGAAGGGTAAAAATATAATCATAGCTTTACTGTTTTTATATATATAGTAATTTCAAACTATTAGAAAATTATAACAAACCTGAAACTGAGAATCATGCAGAGCCAAGTTGAATTCAGCTTCAAGTTGGGTTAAACAAGTCATTAATATTTCAGGCACAAACTTCCCACCAAACCTTCCGGATTTTCCCATACTAATCACTTTCCTTTCATCATGAATATCATGGGGTAAGTTCTTTGTGATCATCAATGGTTTTTTGAGGGAAGAAGTGCTGGAATTCTTAGGCAAAGTTTGGGTGTCAGCAACTGAAGCCCTACAAACTACCACAAAAGGGTTGCAAATCTTCCTCTCAGGAGCTAAATTTTTCCGGGAAACTGCAAGCGTTTGTTGGGAAAATTGGATACTAGATGACATGACTAATTCTTTGCACAAAAAGAAACTGGGTTTTTCAGTACGGAGGAATTTTCTATGACTGTTGCTTTGGTTTTTTTGGTGATCTAGGGGGAGTGTATGGTGTATTTATAGAGAGGGAAAGAAACCAATATTGAATTTACCATTGGCACTAGCGGCCTTTTGTAGACTGACAATAGGCATTGGTTGTGTTTGATAGGATCAAATATTTTATTTTGTATTAAAATTTAAATTTTTATTAAAACAATTGTAATTTTTTTTCAATATTCTCCCTTTCCAAAAAAAAAAAGAAAGTAAATTTATTATTGAGTAA